TTGAAGGGAGGGAAAGTTTCCGTAGAATTGTGATTCACTCATTTGGGATCAAATATCACTTTAGCATTTCAGGAGAATTCAGATAATGATCCTTCCTTGTTTACTAGGAAAAAGAAGTTCAAATAGGTCGCATAAACTTCTAGAACAAGAAGAGTACTCTTGGCCAAGTCAGGGGTAAATTTAGTTTTGTGTTAGCGTAGACCCCAAATAACACTTCAGCATCCTATAGGACCAGCTGTTAGGTCTCCAATGAGAAAGTCTAGCTGGACAGTGGTGGAGCACACCTTTAACCCCAGCACTTGGAGGCAGAGGCAGACAGATCTCTGTGAGTTCCAGGCCAGTCTGGTCTATAGAATGAGTTCCAGGACAGCCAGGGCTACACAAAGAAACGCTGTCTCAAAAGCCCCCACCAAAAAAAAAGTCTAATGATAAATGAGCAGCTTTGCAATTTAATTGAGACTTGAATTCCTGCAGGACCCTTACACTGCACCAGAGGATTTTACATATGTTAGTATCAAGATTTCCCCCTAACTTTCAAAATTAACTCTAATAGAAAAGAAATAAATCAAGCTTTTATAAGATCTAATAGATGTCCGGGTGTTCTTTCCCCAGCAGAAGTTCTAATCCTTTTTTGGAGAAAAGATTAATGATCAAAGCAACTTAGTCTAAGATTGAAACTCCTCATTTATATTAAATTTATATTGTGCACCATGCATACCAACTCCAAAGGGGTAATTCTCTGTATTGAATTATTTATAGTCTCTTGTAATAAGATACCTGATAAACTTTTAAATATTTATGCATCAACTTAACTCAAAGATGGTAAGTAAACCAATACTGGCAATCTTGGGGGCCCTGCAGAATTTGTGTCTCTTTGTCTACCTGCATATACGCTTGCTCACTAAAATGATGGTGTCTGCGTGGTCATGTGACACGTTGTGAATCAAAATAACCATAAAGGGAAAATGAATAATGGTGGCTATTGAATGATGAATATGTGTAATAAATTTTGTGGCTTAAGATGACAAATCAGATAATGTCCACTGTGGTAGAGAGAGCAATAAATTATCCAATTATTTGGTTAGTCTATGAATTTTAATATAACCGACCTTGTTAGTGCCATTTCTCTAGAAAAATCTGCGTAGAGTTTGATTTCTCCTACCCTGCTAAAGGTTCTTGTGGTACAAATACACATTAACTACCATGTACTCCTTCTAACAATGGGTTGCATTGTGACGTTTTCACACAAGCACATCATGTACTTCCCTCACATTCCTCCCATCTACAAATATTATCTTAACTTGGCACTGGCCATAAGGACTCCCAATTAAGACACAGCTATCAAAAAAGAAAATGAAGTTTGCTTTAGATCGGTTAATGATGATCTCTTCCATTGGTTTCTATTGCTGCTGCACATCAAAACAAATTTCACACCTTAAAACAATGCCAACTCACTCCCATATGGGTCTGAAGGGCAGTGGATCTGAGTGGGCCATGTTCCTCCTGGAGGTTCAGGTGAGAATCTGTCTGCCTTTCCAGTGAGGTGGTATTGTGTTCCTCAAAATATTATGGACCATAATAAACTTATCTGGGGTCAGAGACAGAACAGCCACAATATTAAACACAGAGGATAGGCAGTGGTAGCTCACGCCTTTAATCCTAGCATTCCAGAGGCAGAAATCCATGTGTTCAAGGATACAGTCAAGCATGGTGACTCACACCTTTAATCCCAGGGAGTGGTGGTAGAAAGCAGAAAGGTATATAAGGCGTAAGAGCCAGAAACTAGAGGCATTTGGCTGGTTAAGCATTTAGCTGGTTAAGCTTTCAGGTTTCTAGCAGCAGTTCAGCTGAGACCCATTCTGGATGAGAACTCAGAGGCCTCCGGTCTGGGAAAACAAGACCAGCTGAGGATCAGGCAAGGTGAGGTAGCTGTGGCTTGTTCTGGTTCTCTGATCTTCCGGTTCACCCCAATACCTGGCTGAGGTTTGATCTTATTAATAAGAACTTTTTAAGATTCCTGCTACATTCCAGCCTTCCTCAGCTCATGGCCCTCCATCCTCAAAGCCAGCAGGTTCTCTGGCGCGCCTTTAACTGTGGCTCCCTCCTCTTCCTCACACCGTGAGATGACAGTCAACCCTCCAGAGTAGCGCTCTTGTCCTTCACCTAACCACACCAGCATCGCTGTTTGCCATGTCTGGTGGTATATTTACAGAAAGGATAGAGGCATTTGGTAGTCATCATTCTCTCCACCACACATTTCAAATCTACGGTTGGCATGTAGTGTTGACCCTTATCCAGGAGGCGCTGTGGAGAAACTTATTTGGGGAGTGAGGGAGACCACTACTTGAGTCTTGGCTTTGGCCACTTGCTGGCTGCGGGAAGCTGATCCAAAGACGCAAACTCCCTGAGTTTTTAGTCTGTAAATTGGAGCCCATGGTTATAAAGATGAGAGAAAGGGTGAGCATAAGACACCTGGCTCCCAGTCCACTGTAGATTTCGAAGGCACGTGAGTGCCCCGCCCGCTCTGCCTGCACATTTAAAGGTACAGCAGCCTGTAACTAACCAACTACATTATGATTGTTACTGTATTGACACGAGATTGGTTACTGTTAAAGTAAATGAAGAAAATATAGTTGAACAGTAGATCGGTGCGTTTGTTGGACAACACCTTTAAACGTTCGAAAGACTTCAGCAGTTTAAATGGCAACCTGATAAAACAGTGGAAAAGAAATAGATTTCTTTCATTTAGTATATTTTGGTATTGATTCTCACTGTTGCGTGTGTGTGTGTGTGTGTGTGTGTGTGTGTGTGTGTGTGTGTGTGTAAAGAGGAGAGAGAATGTGTGTGACTGTGTGTGTGGGAGTATATGTGTGAGTCTATGTGTGTGAGTCTATGCGTGTGTGAAAGTGTATGTGTGTGAGTGTCTCACTCAGCACATTTTATAAGCAGATCTGCTGTAGCTTGCTCACCCTCCGTTGCTTCCCATTAGGAACTATGATGGCTGCCCCGAGTCTTGTACAAAGCTATGTCGTGTGTAGGAGGGAACGCTTTCCTGTTTTGTAGGTAAAAGCCCAGGGACAGAATTTCTGGTTAGGCTCTTCTTGTGTTGCAGTTAAACTTTATACTTCTTCCCCCCTAAGTTTGAAGCACTTAAAAATCTAATATGCAAGTCAAATGTAGAGCCCAGCAGTAGTTGGGGGAGACCATGGGGGTCTAATTCACGCTGTCAGCCCCACACAGAGGCCTTTGCTCCAGCCACTCAGACTGCTTTCTCCTTGTCCTGTTGTTTCCCAGGCTGGCTGCTCTCCTGAAGGTCCTCTCCTTGCCTGGATACGGACTTAACCAAACAGGGCATCTGCCACCTACGTGTGCACACCACCCTGTACCCCGTGTGTGCACACCACCCTGTACCCTGTGTGTGCACACCACCCTCCACCCTGAGTGCACACCACCCTCCACCCTGTGTGCACACCACCCAGTACCCCATGTGTGCTCACCACCCTATACCCCATGTGTGCACACCACACTGTACCCCATGTGTGCACACCACCCTGTACCCCATGTGTGCACACCACCCAGTACCCCATGTGTGCACACCACCCGGTACCCCATGTGTGTGCACACCATCCTGTACCCCATGTGTGTGCATACCACCCTGTACCCATGTGTGTGCACACCATCCTGTACCCGGTCGGTGTGCACACCACCCTGTACCCCGTGTGTGCACACCACCCTGTACCCCATGTGTACACCACCTGTACCCCATGTGTGTGCACACCACCCTCCACCCCGTGTGTGCACACCATCCTGTACCCGGTCAGTGTGCACACCACCCAGTACCCCATGTGTACACCACCTGTACCCCATGTGTGTGCACACCACCCTCCACCCCGTGTGTGCACACCACCCTCCCAGGCACCTGCTCCTGACCCACTCCTTTACAGCCCGCCAGGGCTCAGAACTGGACTGGGATTTCCTCTTCCCTTTGGTCTGGGTGCTCGTGTGGGATGGCTAATCCACCAGAACCCATCACTTCTGTTGAAGTGGTGTTACCTCCTTCTGCCCACGAGGCCTCTAGGCTTGCTGTTGGGCAGGCTATGTTAATCGGCTTCTAGAAAACACTCCTAGCAAATCGCCTAGCAGGGATCCCAGCCAAGAGAGCAAATTTTCAAAGAGCTATAAGTAGAATTAAAGGCTCGAAGAAGGCTGGGAACCATAAAAAGGCCATTGACCTTGCTGGTAAGGCCTGACAGTGACTGACGCAGAAGCCAGCCTGTAGAGATGATAAATAGAAAACACACACACACACACACACACACACACGCACGCACGCACGCACGCACGCACGCGCACACACACACACACACACACACACACACACATCTTGTCAAAGACAAAAAGGGAAAAATAAGATGCTGGAGAATGAGTTATATGACCAACTGAAATTACAAAACTTCAGAGTCGTTTTCCATCAAAGGATAAAGACACCGATCAGGGAGCCAAGGTCTAAGGTACAATATCATTTTTCTCTCATTGATGAAATATTTATATGCATTGACTTCACTTTTCAAAAGCTTTAATGAGTAAGTGAGGTATGTATGAATGAGCTGCTTCTGCTTGGACTGGGGCAATGACGCATGTGCATGTTAATATATGTGAATCATTTTAAAATTGTAAGCTTTGGAGGACTTTTCTGACCCCTTCTGATTGAATCCAACTGGCATAAAAACAAGTAATTGGAGTATTAAGAATCAATTAACAGTGAGCTGGCTGATTGTCATTACACCTTTAATTAGCAGTATTGGCTTCGGGAGCACCGGGTCTTGGTTTGCAGCTAGGAATGAATGGACTGAGCACCCACCAGCTGACATTTGGAGAACCTTGATACACCATCACTTTTTCCAGACACTAATTAAGATTTGTATCTTCCACCATATTAACACTGCAAAGGCCTTTGTGGTGGAGACAGGTTTTCCCGCTGCCGCCGCCGCCGCCGCCGCCTTTGTTTCTGATTATTTCATTTCCTGTCTAGGTTCCGTTATAAACATCCAGGGAGGCAGCTGGGAGAGGTTCTTCTGTGGATTCCTTCCACCGACTTGTGTTAAAGGACCACTTCACGCAGATCATTGAGCCAAGTGGAAGGACCAGAGGAAGGAGGAGAGGAATGCTTAGATAATAATGTGTGTACCCTGAAGTTGGGAAGTCCAGGCTGAAAGGGAGGTGCAGATACATCCCTGTGCTACACTACGGTAGGAGTGACCATGGGATAGACATAACGTCAACCAGAGCACAAGATGGGGTGGTTCTTGCTGACTTTTTTATGTTGACTGTCACAACCATTCAGCAGGTCTTCATGAGACCACACTTTTGTCCTGGAATTCCGTGAGCAGCCTGGGGACCTGTGTGAAGAAGACAGTTCAACCAGGGATGAGGGCTCCCATGCCAGCTCAGAGAGAGGAAGGGAGTCCAGAGTCACAGAGAGTAATGTGGTCTCTCACACCACTTCTCTCTTCCCCAGCTGTCACTCACACTCGTGGGTCCTGCTCTTGTTAAACACACATCAGAAGCACTTTGAAAACGTTTTAAAAGCCCTTCTCCAGGCCCTGCTCTGAGCCAGGTAGAGTGGCACACTAGTAGTCCCAGTCATTCAGGAGCTGAGACAAGGGGGATCACCTTAGCCACGGAGGATAAGACTAGTCTGGGCAATATAACCAAAAAATATAATAACAAAAACAACAATAATAATTAACCCAGACTCCACTCTAAGAGATTTTTGTCTAAAGTATCCCTGATACCATTTTGACACTAGGGCTCTCCAGACCACATCTGGAGAAATACAGCCCAATGTTTCCAACCTCACAGCTGGGGACACTGAAAGGCAGAATAGTTTCCCCAGAACCTGGGCAGTGGGTAAGGACAGCAAACACTTACGTGACGCTTGTTAAAAGCCAAGTACACTTCCAGATGATGGACACATGCAAACAGGTGTGATCCGTTCAGTCCTCTCAAAAGTGGATGTGACTGTTGTCTTGTTTTATACCTGAGGACCTGAACTAAGTTTCTCAAGGTCACGCACTGACCTTGAACTCAGACTTCTTGAGACTAGTGCCCACCATAGTTACTACCTCACAGCGTCACGTGTGCATCTGAACCCAGGTGATTGCTACCCAAACAACGGTTCTTCCCAAAGAATGCTGTGTTGAAGGCTGTAACTCTCCAGTCAGAACTGGGGGGCCCTCTGCTGTTTCTGGGGAACCTGAGTGATCTTTCCGGAAAGAGCTAGCATATTTCAGACTTCCCCGGCACTACTTCTTCTTAACTGAACTCTCCACTTTGCTTAGGACACCGTGAGAGAGAAGCCCCACCTCAGCACCGCGATTAGGCTTAGCTTTAGACCACACATCCTTTGAGGGATTACAATGATGCTTTTGTTTGCTTGTTTGTTTGTTTGTTTGTTTTTTTGAGACAGGGTTTCTCTGTGTAGCTTTGCGCCTTTCCTGGAACTCACTTGGTAGCCCAGGCTGGCCTCGAACTCACAGAGATCCACCTGCCTCTGCCTCCCGAGTGCTGGGATTAAAGGCGTGCGCCGCCGCCGCCGCCGCCGCCGCCACCACCACCACCACCTGGCACAATGATGCTTTTACTAGCAATTTGGGGGAGACAAGGAAATCGACACCATATACCAGTAACTGAATGGGCCGTGGACATGGGCGATCCCAGCACTACACTCCCTGTTCGCCTCATTGCTGAACTTTCGAGTTTTCTCTTTTTGAACTGATTTGGATATGAGTTTCGGGAAACCAGAAGTTCCAGATCGTTAGGAAGAAATGAGGGGGGGGGGGGGAGGATGTCAAGTCGATAGGAGTAATTTCAAAAAACAAAACCTCTGTCCACAGCTTCAACTACTGCCATCTGCAGGAGAGAATAATCTTCATGAAACGTTTCTTTATAGCTCCAGCAGGCTGTAATGCTGATTAAACCAAAGCCTTTATTTCTGAGTCCCCTCACTAAAAATATAAATACGAAAGCCTTCCTGGCCTCCTTAGCCACTCATTCCTTGGTGCTTTGTTGCCCAGTGCTGATGGTCGTAGTTCTCAGCCTGGATCCACTTGCCAGCTTCCTGGCTGTCAGAAATCTCATTTCAGGTTCCTGCTGCTTTCTTTCCCAAGAGGTTTCCAAGCTCCAGTTCTCCGCCAGCTTCCGGCTGCACAGCCTTATCAGAGCCTGGATCCTTGTTCAGCAAACCTGTGCTCCACCAGCGTGATGTGCCTTTCACAGACTCACTTCCGCCCGATGTCGTGGAGATAGACCCTGCCAGGGCCATGTGTCCCAAGAACCCAAGCTCACTTGTCCTCGAAACAACTGCTGGTCTCTGGGTCAGGGATGATTAAGCGCAGTTTGGGGAATAGTGTGCCTTGGAACGTTGTCGCCGGGACATGGTAGAACAGCCACAGCAACAAAAAAAGCAGCCGTCCCGTGTAAAGTGACCTGCAACATGAGGAGTCTGCTGGTGTTACCCAAGGTTGCTGCCGATGTCTTTGTCAGGGAATTTCCCTTCTATTTCTAGTTTTCTGTCTGTTTTGTTTTAATTATGAATGGATATTGTGGAGTTTTTTCCAAGCAATTCTTCTGCATTGACAGATGGCCAGGTGCTCTTCTTTGGGCCGTTCACCAGGCAGAATACAGCAGCTGAGCTTCACACACTGAACGAGTCCTGCTACATTCCCAAGTTCCCCATGCTGCCAGCTAGAAGACTGCCTGATGGGACATGCTGGGTCTTCTGCTGGGAATTCTGTGTTCATGGACATGAGAACATTGTCTGTAGGATTTTTTTTTTTTTATGATATCTTTGTCCAGTTTGGGTTCCTAGGTAAAGCTGGCCTCATAAAATGAGTTTCATTTCTGTTTTCTGAAAGACCCTGTATAGGATTGGTTTCTCTAATATTCGATGTGTTTAATGAAATAAAAGTTTTGGAAGAATTTTTATTTTGGTTTCTATTCCTTTTGACATTTGTTATCATTATTTTCATGTGCATTCCTGTTTTCTCTGAGTGTATGTCTATAAATCATGGTGGATGCCTGGTGCCTGAGGAGGCCAGAAGAAAGAATTGGATTCCCCAGAACTGGAGTGAAGGACAGTTGTGAGCCACCATGTGGGTGCTGGGAATCAAACCCGGCTCCTCTGGAAGAGCAACCAATGGTCTTAACCACTGAGCCACCTCTCCAGTGCCTACTTTGACAGTTACAAGACTATTCTGTTTCTCTGATTAACCTTGGATTAGTTTTAGTCATCCCCAGTTTTTTGAGGAACTGGTCTGTTTCATCTAGGATAACAAATGTCTGTCCATAAGAAATCAATGCTTCTGGAGAGGGAGGGCATATGAGCTTACTCCTAGCTGAGGAATCACTAACAGTTGATGGCTTCTGGGGAAGGGACAATATCTTAGTTAGGGTTTCATTGCTGTGAAGAGACACCATGACCATGGCATCCCTTATAAAGAAAACATATAATTGGGGTGGCTTGCTTACTGTTTCAGAGGTTCAGTCCATTATCATCATGACAGGGAGCATGGCAGACATGGTGCTGGAGTAGCTGAGAGTTCTGCATGTTGCAGGCAGCAGGAAGTCAACTGACAGCCACACTGAGGGAAGCTTGAGCAAAAGAGACCTCAAAGCCCACCCCCACAGTGACGCACTTCCTCCAACAAGGCCACACCTCCTAATAGTGCCTCTTCCTATGAGGTTATGGGGGTTATAGTTATATTCAAACTACCATAATCAGTTTCTCTAAGGGTGTGGACCCTGGTCGACCACTCCAGTGGATGGCACCACACCCATAAATATATGGACAGCACAAATTTAACTCAGTGGGTGATTAAAAAAAACAAAAAACCACAGAGTTGGGGTTGGGAGGGATGGCAGGTGGATCTCAGAGGAGTTAAGAGGAGGAGTGGGGAGTGGATATGACCAAAATACATTGTTTGGATGTATGAAATTCAAATAATTTAAAAAGTAAAGAAACCAATGCCTCAAAGAAATGAATTCAGCCAGAAAATTTACATTTTTTTTCTGTTGAATTTTTGGTTAGGTCACAATCCCAGACAATGTCCCAAATGCAACCTGTGAGACCCAAAGGTAGAAAACATAGCTAAGCCATGCCAGGTTCCTAACATATAGAACTCCAAGACTGTGAGCACATGCTGTCCTGAGCCAGCTTGTGTGATAATCTACTCTGGGACATAGGAAAGGAACACTCTTTTCCCACCTTCATGTCATGACAAAAACTGAGTGTCTCAGAGACAGTACATGCCACCAGCCACTCAACCCTTCATAATCACTGGTAAGTTTCCGTTGGTCCAGCTAGGGTTTGTTTTGTTTTCTTTTGTTCTGTTTTGTCGTTATTATTGTTCTGGGTTAGAACTTTTTGTTTAATCCATTGGAAGATCTAAATTTTTTTGTTAATATTACCTGGAGTTAGTTTTCTTTTCCTACCTCCTTTTGGATTTTCACGTTTTTCATTATTTTTCTTAAATTTCTTTACTTTGTGTTCTTGTTGTAGCTGTTCATATAGAGTTTTTAGTAACTGCCCTAGGGAATACACTGAACCAATATTCCTGAATCAATACGGGCTGGAAAGATGTCTCAGTGATTAAGAGCACTGGTTGCTCTTCCAGAGGACCTGGCTTTGGTTCCCAGCATGCACATGGACTGCTACCTCTGTGACTCTGGTTCCAGGGGATCTGATGCCCTCTTCTGGTTTCTGTAAGCACTGCATGCAAGTGGTACACAAAAATACATGCAGGCAAAACACCCAATCACATAAAATAAAAATAAATTAATCTTTTTTTTAAATTTAAAGTGATTTATTTTTATTTTATGTATATTGGTGTTTTGCCTGTGTGAAGATGTTAGATCCCCTGGACATGGAGTTAAAGACAATTGTGAGCTGCCATGTAGGTCCTGGGAACTGAACCTGTGTCTTCTAGAAGAGCAGCCAGTGCTCTCAACAAGTGAGCCACCTCTCCAGTGCCCTGAATAAATCTTTTTAAATATCTAAATGTACTACTACTGGTTTTAAAGACACAGACTAACACCAGCCCATTAAGAATGGGTGATTTTGCTACCCCACTTTTTTCAATAAACAGGGCCAAAAATAAACAGAGAAACATCAGAATTAAATGACATCACACATCAAATGGACTTAGTAAATATCAACAGAATATTCTACCCAAACACCAAAGAGTGTACATTCTACTTGGCAGTACATGAAAGCTTGTCTACAACAGATCACATCCTGGGTCACAAAACAAAGCTTTAACAATTCAGAAGACTGAAATCACTTCGTTTGTCCTAACTGAACACAATGCCTTTAAAGTCTAAATTTACGGCAAACAAATCT